GGAAAATATTGAGACGCATATTCGAAGAACGGAAGATAGAAGACGGTTGGTAGAGAAGAACCAACAATGAATTAATGGCTTTATACAAAGAACCTACCATTACCAAGTTCGTCAAGTCACAATGAATCAGATGGTTGGGACATGTGGAAAGAATGGCAGCAAACAGAAGGCCCAAACTAGTAATAACCAGAAAACTAATCGGTCCCAAAAGAAGAGGTAGACCCAGAACGAGTTGGATTAGTTGGAACGAGGGATTGGAAAAGAAAAGCACAAAATAGAAGCGAATGAAGAAATATTGTCCACCAGGTCCTTCAGAGTAGTTAAGAATGTTGTATACACATATTTAAGTTAAAGTTTTGTTTAAAATAATTGTAATTAGTTAATATTAGGATTATGTGTAAAAAAAGCCCTAGGCCTTAACGGCCTGTTGTGCGTAAAAATAAATATATATTTTAGAGTCATCAACGCCATAACTGTACTCAAATCACGGATAGCATGACTGACAACTAGTTCATACTTGTACATACATTTATTAATGCACTATGTAAATTATATATTTCTATACATACGTACCTATGAATTCTGCGTTCACGTTGCATTTCAAACATCTGTCCCAAATAAGCAGCTAATATAATAATATTCTCCGCCTTATAACCATTTAAGACTAAGTGTTTTGCCAACTGCATTAAAAATTTAGATTCGTGTATATTTTTCTTACTGTTATCATTGCATAAAGATTCTTTGTGTTCGTGATCAATAAAAAATAGTGTATGTTCGATTCCTAAAATATTTGGTCGATCATATACCGATTCGTGATCGTGCAGAACTGGGTAAATGGTAGGTCTAATTAAATTGGCAATTTCGGGTCTCATTCTATGCTGTATATTCAATGTATGACATTCTACGTTATTGTCAACCATTCTTTGGAAAAGACTTATATTTAATTTATACCTTGTTTCTATCTGATAACTAGCTGTACTAGGTTTTAACTGCTGATGATCACCTATTAAAATCAAATGTTGGCAATGCGATGTAATAGCAGTTATTATATGGGATTCTAATACTTCAGCAGCTTCTTCTACTATGACTATTGGACTTCTTAGAGCTTTTAATGACGTATTTAGACGAGCTGCTCCCGTTGTTGTCATTCCGACAACTAAAGCGTCTAAAATAAAAAAAAAGTCGATTTTATTTACTTGCGACACAAATATAAAATGGAGACACTTGATATAATGGACTGTATTGAACCTAATCAAAATCACCTTATTGAAACTTAATTAAGTTACTAGTAAAAACAAAATTTATTCTTAAAAAAATACTGTTGGAGGGTTATATATCGGCGCATACATTGTTAAATCTTCTCTCTCTGTCAACGGTAGTCAGTGGCAGCTGTGTCATAAATCACTAGTCAAACACACAAGCAATAGCGGAGTTGACGTGTTGGTTTGACTTCATAACCATAAATCATAATTTGTACAATCCCCCCCCCCCCCGCCTTGAATGGCATCAGTAACGTTTAAGTACAAATCACTTAAGTTGTATCCAAAAAATTAATTAAAAACACTAGAAGCAAGTCTTGGTTAATTGTAATGGACAAACTAGTGATTCCTCGTTTATAAAGCCCGTTTATAAATGAGCGGTTCTGACGCTTACTACTCGAATTTCGCCATCAACAGCAGGGTGAACAGACACTATTCTTCCTAATTGGCACTGACAAGTGGTAAATAATCAGATTTTAGGGGCACTAAGCTCCGATTTGAAGAATGGAAAATTTGTTTGTTGACTGTTTCTCCATTTGCGACACTGCTGGAGATTATTCAGGTAAATCTTTGACCACTGCTTCCAAAAATCGTGCAATATTTTCAGAATCAATTGAAATCTGGATAATTGGTTTACTTTTAATCTCTCCTTGAAACGTATGATCCGGGATAGCGGTCATTGGTGTTCCAATCAAAAAATGTGAGGGAGTTAAAGGAGTGTAATCACTAGGATCGGATGATAGGGCATATATGGGACGTTTTTTCAAAGAGCCTTCAATCTGAATTTAAAATGTACAAAACTCTTCATGAAGGGCTTGACCAATAATACGATACAAATGGTATTTTACTCCCTTTATGACACTTTTCCACAATCCTCTGAAATGTGGAGTACTACGAGGAATGAAATGCCAAACAATCTTCTGAACAGCGCAAGAGCTGACAATTTCTGAATTTCTAAAATACAAAATTTTAAAATCTTTTTTAGCACCTACAAAACTTGTAACGCATCTGAGTACAGATGCCCGGGTTTATCGCATCTAAAAACAAATCTTCTAAGGCCTGTGATGAAAGCTTCAGATGTCAAGGAACTAATAAATTCTAAATGTATTGATTTCGTGGCGAAGGTAATAAATAATCATATATACGCCTTATAAGTTTTGCATCCGGTTATGAAAAAAGGTTGTGATAGGTTAACACGATGATCTGACAACTCAGCCATAATTGTAGAAGCAGGTTTGGGTTTAAATCGATAGCATCTAATGCAATTTATTACAACCGTTTTAGCTAGGGAGATCCCTGCAATTATTCAAAATTTTTGACGAACGATCTTGGGTTTTATCTAATAGTAAAGGATGTTTCCCATCATAATTCCTAGAAGTCTTTCCAAGACGACCTCTTACTCTCAACAATCCAGTTTCATATAAAAAAGGTGTTAAATCTATTCTTTAACGAAAAGTCTTTAGCTTTATTTAATAACGAAATTTTTTTTCTTTTCTTTTAATGTGCTGAGCCAAAGATGTTTGGATGTTAATCGAGATCTTTATATATGCTTTATAGACTACAACAAGGCATTCGATAAGGTAAAACATAACCGAGTTATAGGAGTACTCAAAAACAAGAATCTGGATGTGAGGGATGTAACATATCAAATTTATACTACAGCCAACGATCAAATGTGAAAATTGGAAGAGAAGTGCCAGAAGAAGTAAAGATAAGGAGAGGGGTCAGGCAAGGTTGCATACTGTCGCCGTTATGGTTTAATGCTTATTCTGAAGAAATCATACAAGAAGCTTTGGTAAACGAGACAGTCGGCATAAAAGTGAACGGAAGTTTAATTAACAACATTGGGTATGCCGACGATATACTCATCATAGCCGACAACTTGGAAGACTTAGAAAGAAGAATAATGAACAAAACTACGATATAGTGGAGAATACGGACTCAACAAAAAACAATTTCATGAAAATTGGCAAAAACAACAATACCAACGAAATATTAACGGTAGGCGGCCAACAGATTGAGAGAGTAAAAGATATACTTACTTGGGAACGATAATCACAGAAAATAACGATTATACTGAAGAAATAAGAGTCAGAATTGAAAAAGCACGCGCCATCTTCGTGAAAATGAAAAAGATTTTATGCAGCAAAGATCTGACATTAGCCCTCAGAATAAGGCTAATTAAATGCTATGTACACAGTGTACTCTACTATGGAGCTGAATCATGGACATTAAACCGGAATACAATAAATCGACTTAACGCGTTAGAAATGTGAACATTTAAAAGATTTAGAAGATTTTAAGGATACATGGGTAGATAGAGTCACGAAGTGACATACAGAAGTGTTAAGGAGAATAGGCGGAGAGAGAAAAATGGAAAATACAATAAAAGAAAGGAAATTGCAGTATGTCGGACATGTGATGAGAGGCGAAAGATACAACATCTTGACTCATAATTCAAGGAAAAATAGAGGGTAGGAGAAGCGTAGGAAGAAGACGCGTTTCCTGGTTGAAGAACCTGAGAGAGTGGTTTGGTTGCAGTTCAAGGCACTTTGAATTTGCGCTCTTCTACAGCATAAAAACGATTTTCTGCTTGAAGTTTAGAATTTCCTAAAACTGACGGGTTTTGCATTAATGGCATGAGTACTATAAATCGACCTAAAGAATCTCTGATAGTAATATCCTTAAAAAGGCTTTCACAAAATTGTTCAGTTTTGGACAATGGTTTGAAGCTTGTAAGTTTATCTACTTCCCAGAATTGAGCTAGTTTATCCAATAGTTCCTGATTTACGCTTAAATTATAGGACACGTTTTTTATGGATTCATTAACTCCAAAGGATCCTGAGACTACCCATTCCAACGACGTTTCAAATAATAGCGGCATATTTTTTCCAAGTGAATGCTTTTTTGTTCCCAAAATTGACCGACAAAACATATCAGTTCGGTATAATTGTAAGTTCCCGTAATTTGATACAAAACGTAACAATCTAAAACAGTTTTAAAGTTGCTATGTGTTGATCTTATTGATATTTTACATTTTTTACTGACCTTTGAAGTATTGTTTGATATGCCAAAAATAGATAAGTCTCTTTTCGGAGTGTTAATATATAACCTCTTGTAAACTAGATGTTAGGCTGCAGAAAAAATTACTTGATTGGCTACAGAGCTCACAGTACTACTATTTAAAGAAACACTTTCCGTTTTTGATGTTATATAATCTGCATTTTCAGAGCTATAATTAGCTGTATCCTTTTTATCATGCAAAATTGTATTTGGGTCATTTTTGAACTACAAACACACTACAAACAGGCTAAAAACTGACGTCTCACGTTGTACTAGTAACCCGAGAAGATGGAATACCAGGAGGTTGCTATCTGCGACTGTGACGCCGTTCAGAGTAGTCACGACCTACTGACATGCACAAATATGAGAGAGTCGTGCACAGATAAAGATCTAATTTTAGCAAAATAAAAAAAATGTGACAAACCATTTGAAATATACGATAAATTTTTTATTACTTTTCTGTTTTTAAATGATTAGGTTGAGTAATCAGTTACTGAAACCACGCCGTGGGTTGTTAATCTCTATATTCAGGTCAAGACATTGATCAGTACATATTTGTATATTTGATATTATTTTGTATAATGTTAAGACTGGCTTAAGATATTCTGCTCGCCTGAATAGCACTTCTATCAATGAAAAAATGTCAGATATTACAATAAACAATGGAGAAAAAGAACTAGAACCAAAATATGTTTTAACAAGGTTAATCCAATGTATATCCAATGGGGATCTGTAAGAAAATTGTATTGAATATATTTGAATATAATCATCTGAATGTCAAATCAAAATATAATGACTTTCAACAAAATCTTCCCGAATATACAAAAATGGATAAATATGAGCAAAAAATTCTAACTAAGAACAATTATCTATTTCAATGTAAATCATATCATTTTTTCAAGCAGGAATAAAGTTTTAAGAGCGTGGATTGATAATTGAAAAATAAAACTGTACTGTCTTACCTTTCATAACGTTGGTGTCTTCTATGTCACGCATTTCTGCATACACAGCGTACTCTTCTCTGAACTTGGTACCCAGCAAAGCTTTTTGGTGAAGCAAATGCCTTTCATATAAATAAATCCATTGAAAATATAATTTCCATCTATCATCAGCAGACATAAAATGAGGATTTTCCAAATTGATGTAATCTGGTAGACCTAAATTATGCACCTGAGCTTCTTGTAATCGAAACTAAAACAGTTACAATGTGCATTTAAAACATGGGCAACAAAAAAAGATAATATATTGTAACGGTCAAACCTTTTGCAGAGTTGGGTCGAACGGTTCTATTGGGTGAACTGTAAAGACGATGTAAGAAGATAGTGCCGGAAATGTGAACTGTGCGTAACCAGTAATGGTCCAGTTGGTAAAAAGAGGTCACCCATGAAACAGTACAATCTTGGTAGTCCTATAGAATCGACATTGCAGGTTCATTTCCAGGAATGATGGAAATAAATATATCCGGGTAGCCACGGGTTATTTTACGAAATGGACTGAGGCCTATGCCATACCAAATCAAGAAGCTGCTACCGTTGCAGAGGTACTTGTTAAAGAATTCTTTAGTCGATTTGATCCGATTGGAGATCCACTCGGACCAAGGACGAAACTTCGAGTCAACCCTTTTCCAAAACGTTTGTAAATTGATTGGTGTCAATAAGACCAGAACGACACCCCTGCATCCTCAATCAGATGGAATGGTCGAGAGGATGAACCGAACGATGGGTAAACACCTGTCCAAAGTTGTATCAGAACATCAAAGAGATTGGGACCAGCACATTCATTTATTCCTAATGGCCTACCGCTCGGCCGTAAATGAACTACAGGCCAGACTCCAACCTGCCTGATGTTGAGTCGTGAAGTTCGTTTGCCTTGCGACCTTCCGAAGAACATGTAGCGAGGGAAGAATATGTCGACCGCCTGAAGTTAAGAATAAACAACATTTATGAACTTGCCCGAAAACACATCCAGTTAGCCTTTGACAGAATGAAAGATCAATATGATTCTCGATGCAAGAACAAAAACTATGAAGTAGGTGATCTTGTTTGGCTTTATAATCCACGTCATCGAGGCTTGTCTTCTAAAGTGCAAAGACAACAGGAAGGTCCGTATGGAATTTTTAATGAATTTATGTCACAGAAGTTCAGCAGGATCTTTTTAATGTTTCGCATAACGTCTCTTCTAGCCGACTGCATTGCCAAACATGTGTAACAAACATGCTTATTTCGACGTACCCCATATATCGGTTGCATCTCGCGACGATGATCTGTGTTCGAGAATGTTCATGATCTATCGACCGGCGGACAGATCGACGTGCTGACCCAAACGAAAATAGAGGGTCAGATTATTCTAGAAAATAATAACTTTTAAACTAACTATTAACTAGTAACTTTATATTTATTTATATATATATATATATATATATATATATATATATATATAATATCTGTTTGTCCTTATACATATACATTTTAGAATCTTGACAAAGGCAAGGGTTTCCTGCCGAAAAGTTGATTGTTATGGAAAATAAAATCTAGTTCCACATATAATATATCTTTATTGAACCTAAACCCAAGAAACACTAATTTTATATTAAATATAATACGGTTCAAGAAAATCACAACTACTGTATATATATATATATATATATATATATATATATATATATATATATATATATAAAGAGGGTGAAGTCGTATAGCACTTTTTAAATTTACAATTAAAAAAAAATAAGGGCATTCATCTAGATAAAAAACATTCTATCTCCAAAGTTGGACCAACAAATACACTTTTTTAATACCCATAACCCGACGTGGGTAATTTATTTTACCCACATCGGGTTATGGGTATTTGTAATTTGCGTAAACGCCGCATATATAATCGTAGAATGAAGCTATCCGATATTCATTTATAATAAATTAAGTATATGTAAAATATAATGTCATACCTTTAAATACTCAAATTGGTTTTCTATTGTATTTAGTTTCATATCATATTCGGCTCTTCGCATTTCTTTTTCATATTTACTAAAACCATCTGTTTCCAATAAATGACCAATCTCCCTTTCAATCAACAGCATCTGTTTATACAGATTGTCTGTGCTGACAAGCGTATTTAAAGGTTTTACATCTAAGTTTTGAAAAATGTCGTCTACAAGTTCATCGGGTTCCCTGTCATTATTTTCGTTTTCTTCGTTTTCTAGAGGATTGTCTTCAACGTTATTTATAACCTAAAATTATAAACAAATAAATAAAGTATGTTTGGTATGAAGGGAAAAAATACTTGAAGTAAAACTAACACCGTGCAACTGTAACTGGTTACCTCAAAATTTCACAAACGAGGTTTGAAAAACTGTAATCGAGTGTAAATCAAACAACAAAAGCGAGTGATAACCACAAAAAGGCGTTTGTACATAGATGCAGAAAGCAACATGAAACTACTACCTGGTACAATACTTTTCTGGTACAATAACACTCGAGCCACAACAGAAGACCGTCAGTTTGCAAAACAGACTTTGGTGAAATGGTTGAGAATCAAGTAATTTAAAGTCGCAACATTCAACGTAAGAAATCCTTTTAGTATTAGGATTCATGTAAATTTCACAACCAAGTAAATTAAATAAAAGTGATAAAAATCTTCCTCTTCGGAATTATATACAATATGGAAACCACTTACGGAATATTTTTTTTCTGTACTTGTTTTAAAAAATTATAAAAAAAACTCAAGAGACCCGTCGACTTTTATATATAAATATGCGCTTTATAAACATAAATTTAAATGTACAGGTTGACTCAGTAAGCCTAGCATGGTCCATAAGCTTTATTTTTAATGGAACACCCTGTATATTTTTATATTTTTAAAAGCCGCTTAACAATCTGATCTCAAGAACTATATCATGTAGGGTCTATTATGAATAATAGAGGGTAAAATTTTAAAATGTTAAAGTGTGAAAACCACCTAGCGTGAAAAAATTTTTGTGTCCTCATATTAGAAAATGAAAAAAAAAAAAAACGCTTTAACACGTCAACTTTCAAAATATTCATAATAGAACTTACATGATATAGTTCGTCGAGACCAGGTCATTAATGATCTTTGTAAAATATAAAAATATACAGGGTGTTCCGTTAAAAATAAGGCTTATAGACTATGCTACGTTTAAAAAGCACATATTATACAACAGTGTTTAAACAAAATAATTGTTTAAAACAAGGATATAAATAATTTTATTCTACAAGTGGTTTCCACACTATATACAGACCGCTGGTCGAGTATAGATTGGTCAATATTTCAGAAGCTCTTCTATTCCATTTAACGTGGTGGATTAGTCGTGTATCTTTTACGCTAATTCTCAAAGATTATTATGTTTTTTGCTTTATCTACTATCTTCTTATACTGTCCCACATCCCTGTTGAAAATTTTTTCGAGAGAAATAAATTCCCAAGCTTTGCCACAATATCAGGAGCAATGCTGCTGTCACTGGCGACAAATGATCATATATGCATTTTATCTGTGACGAAGTTTGAAATTTGGGAAAAGGCCGTCTGATACATCTGATACAAGGTTGTACATCAATTTATATTCCACAGCACAAAAAATGAGCCACTACCAGATGTGAAAACTACCATAAGAAAGAATTTCAAGTACCTATAATATGCTTCGTTGATTACCAGAGGATATTCGATTGTATAGCTGGATAAATCGATCCATTTTAATGAAGATGGGTATACAGATACACTTGTCGGTGGTGACACTTATTAAAAGTCTGTATCATGTCGCCAAGGTAACCAATCACGACAAAGATTGTTACTTTGGTCGGCCAATCACAGCGCTCGTTATTAACTTCGCTGTCATTGACCTCTCGGCGGAAGATTGCTGCGAATTCCCAAACAAAGTGTATAAAAGAGCAGCACATCTTCCGATCGGGACTTCAGTCGTCAGATACTTTTAGCCCCACTAGACCTTTTTGGCCTGATGTGCTACCTAGTAACTTTGAGTTTCATTATTAATCCAAATACATAATACGTCGAATATAAGAAGACTTCATCCACTGTTAGAAGATATAGTTCGGAGCACGAGAACGGCTCGCTATTCTCGACATCGCTCGCAATTAGCGCGTATACGCAAGTTGCGAAGGATTGATTTGCGAACATTTCCTAAAAATGGTATTCTTGACCACCCTTCGCACCAACATGCGATCGTTCGCATTGTTGACGTCTAAATACATTTAGCAACACTGTAAATATCTAAAACGCCTGTCTTCACGGCACTGCTGTCTGCTGTCGGATCGAAATAAATAGGTTAGATCTAGATATCCGTTATCTCTTATCTCCGTTATTCCCTTAACAAATAACAAAATTTGTTACAATTTAGATACATACGTATTTTGTATTTTTATATTTTAAAAATGGAAACTCCAGCAGTAAAACCACGAAGAACAACAAATGCCTCCGACGAGCAGAAAAGATTATTGCTGGAGTTTATAAAAAAAAATCCACTTTTGCTAAGTGGAAAGTTTTCGAATTCCTTTAGTCAAAAGGATGCACAGAACCAATGGAACGAAATAGCCAATGTACTAAATAGTTGTGGCGATGGGGCAAATAAAGACTGGAAAGCATGGCGAAAGGTAATAAATAAAATATAAATATATGTAAGATCCGATTTCCCTTCAAGCCAACACAATGTGATTCATCTAAAAGCCAAGTTTATTAAAAACAAATACATAAGTTAACAACTGATGAAATACTAATCTGGAAACAGAGAAAGGACAATTGTTCATGCTTTTCTATTCTTGTTATAAAAACTTGAATATTGTCTTGTATGTTACCCACATATGGGTAACATTATCGACTTGATAATGTTACCCATATTATGATAAATAAAGACAGTTTATTTGTTTTTAATAACCACTTATATTTCTTCAACTATTGTCAGAAACATCTTAGTATCTTATTTTAAACAAGATTGACTTACACTGATTGGCTTCTAAGGCATCGAATTGTAAATGTAATATTGACTGTGTGAATTTTGTAGACATGGCAAGACATTAGAAGTAGAACAAAGGCCAAAAGTGTGCAGTACAAAAAACATACACAAGGTACAGGGGGTGGACCACCAGTAAAAGAGGAAAATGCATTTGAAAAGGAAGTAATGGAAACAATCACAGTAATTTCACTGGCCGGGCAACCCAACATAGCTGAATCAGCAACAAATTTTGATATGCCTGAGATCGAAGTAGATAACTTGTTGTCCACTGACCAACAAAATACAGTAGATGAGGGCGAATTCGATCAACAAAGTGAGGTAAAAACCATTACTGTAACCAGATGTGAAATGAAACCAGAGTGCAGCCAGAATGTAGGTAAAACTAAAAACAAAAACCAATCGAAAAACTTAAAATACACATCAGAGGCAGCCCTAAATTACCAAAAATCCTTACAAGAAAAAAATATGATAAAGAAAAATTATTATGAAAAAAAAATTGAATTGCTGGAGAGATTAGCCGTCGCTAAAGAAAGAAGCGCAGATGCTAAAGAACTTGCTGCAGCTGCCTTACAAAATATATCAGAAAAACTGGATGAGTTATTTTAATTTTTAATTATGATTTTGTTTGTATTTTTATAGTAAATTTCTTTGTTGGAGTGACATTAAAAGTTTGATTAATTATGTATACTTTTTCTTGAAGGGGCATAGGTTCGTTTTAATCCTTTCAGTCATGACTTCTTTTTGCAAAGATAAAAATTTAAAACTATGAGGTGAAATATATGGTTTCAAATATTTATAAACAACAAATTTTGCCCATTAACATTATGCTTTTTAAAACAAACAGAGACAATGTTTGTTGAGACAATAAGGGTGATTCAACGTAAAAAATGGGAATAAGCTATCGTGTTCGTTTAAACGAACATGGTGACTGAAAGGGTTCAAATACAATACAATTATGATTTGGTGATTACCCTCAATACAACAACGAAACCATGCAAATAGGAACAAGTACAATACAGAAAGTCAAGGCGTATATAATTTGACTTGACTTTTAGAGGTATTGGGCATATTTTTTTTTTCGGGATATAGCTAATTTTTCCAAATATTATCTGTGCAAGTCTTATTTTCCTTTTTATTCCTGCTGTTTAATTTCCTTAACTCATTTTCATTATTTGACCTAAGTATAAATCAGCATATCATCGGAAATCAAACAGCAGAAATAAAAAGGAGAGTAAGACTTGCGTGGCTAATATTTGGAAAAATGAGCTATATTCTGAAAAACAGAAATATGCCCAATACCTCTGCACAAAAGTATTATAAAAAATATAAACAAAAGTTCAATGTGTCCTACCAGTATTTACATATGGAGCACAGACATGGACCTTCACAAAGGAACATGTGGAAGAGATGGCCAAGACTCCAAGGGCAATGAAAAGACAGATGCAGTGTATCAAGCTAAGTGATAAAAAGGAAAATACATGGATCAGAAATATAACCAAAATAAAAGACATAGACAAACATGCAGCTACTCTCAAATTGAAATTTACAGGACACAATAGCAGATAAAGAGACACAAGATGAAATGAAGTGATAACCCACTGGAGATCTTAGGGCCATAAAAGAGGAAAGGGCAGACCACAGATGAGATGGTCGGATGATCTAAAAAAATATACAGTGAGTAGATGGGCAGGATAAGCACTAAACTGAGAAGAGTGGAAAAATAAGGGGGAGGCCTACATTCAACTTTGGACCAATGAAGGGCAATAGATACATAGGTAATTCAGAATAATGAAAAAATGCCACATAAGGGCAATTAGAAATATCTCTAATTTAAAAAAATAAAAAGTTTATGGAGCTGCAACTTTAGGTTTAGGTAAATAACATGTTTTGCAATAAAAATTAGTAGTTGTGGAAAACAAACAACTTTGATGAAGAATAACATTTTTGATAAATTGGGAAATAAAAAGTTTCCCTCTTGTGTGGTCCCTATGGAAATACACTGTATACAGTGATGAGCTTGCTAAAACACGCAAAAGATGGAAAACATAATATGTTGTGGAATAAAAAGAGATGAAACTAGTAGATGTGTAAAATTATTGATAGGAACATAACATCACATAGTTTCCCACCTTTAAACGTCTGTGACAATTGTCATACTGCTCTGATACGTCCAAAGGTGGAACACTGTGTAATGTAATGTAAATTTATAGGTTCCTATCGATAATTTTACACCTCTACTAGTTTCATCTCTTTTTAATTCACAACATATTATGTTACATATTTTGCTGGTTATTAGCACGCTCATCACTGTATAAATTTAGATAAAGGAGATAAGTAAAAAGCGAATATGTATTACTAATATATTTAATTATTTGTAAAGAAATTGTTAATTAAATTTTGCCTTAATCTTCTACCTGCTGCAAGTTCAGGATTGACACGTCTTGCTGCATTTTGTACATTTTCATTTTGTGGCTGGTTAAGTTCATTTAAAATTTGTCCCAAATCAATGTTTTCTTCATTAACATCTTCTTCAACATCGGGAATGTTGTATTCAATGCACATATTATGAAGCACTACACAGGCATTTATTATTCTGCTAGCGATTGCAGG